TTTGTGCAACTATTTAAGAAACTTTTCTTTTGGCAGTGTGAATATTTTATACCATATACAAAAAGGAACACAAAATGGATCAAAGACCTCAATGTAAGAAGAAATAATAGAACTAAATATACATGCACACAATATTGACACACACAAATATATAGGGCAGCAATTTATAATCAACCCTAAAGGGGGATGGACTCCAATACAATGATAGTAGTGGACTTTATATAGTAATTTTTGGCATGTACAGATCTTTCAGGCAGAAAATCGCAAAAAAAAGTTGAATTAAATTGTAACCTAGACCAGCTGGATCTGATGGACCTCTACAGGAGATTTCATCCAACTGCTGCAAAAATACATTCTCCTCAGCCACACAGTAACACTCTCCAGGGTGAGTCACATGATAGGACACAAAACAAGCTCAGATAAATTTTTTAAAGTTCAAATTATGTTACATACCTTTTTCTGAGCACAAACAAGTAAAAGGAAAAATTGCAGAAACTATAAAAATACATGAAAATTGAACAACTCACTCCTGTACAACCAATGGATTAAGGAAGATGTGAAGAAAGGAATGTAGACATTTATTCAAGCAAATGAAAATGGAAACAACATACTAAATCTATGTGATACAGCAGAAGCAATGCTAAGAGAGAACTTTGTACAGCCATCATTGCCTGCATCAAAAACTGGAGAAAGATCTCAACCTATCACTGCCATCTCAAGGAACTAGAAACACATAAATAAACTTAGTTACTTTTAGTATTGCTGAGACAAAATTCTCAACACCCAAAGTTAAAAGAGGAAAGTTATTTTGGCTCACAATCTGTAGAGGTTTCAGTCCGTAATTGTCAGGCTCCAAGGCAGAGTGGTGTGGCAGAGGGGCATCACAGAGGAGAAACAGTTCATGGCAGCAAAAGGAAACAAGCAAAGGAAGCAAAGGTCTCTTTTTGTCCCTTATATTCTGTCCAGGCTACATGCACTTAGGGCAGGTAACACTCATACCCAGAGTGGGTCTTCCCATTATCCACACTCAGAAGTGTGCCAAACCAGTCAGTGGACTAATTTACTAATGACATAGCCTTAATTCTAGCATCACACACGCTAGATCCAGCCACCTCCAAAAAGCCCCACCTATGACCATATGAGGCTTTGGAGGACTTCTAGACACAAACCATAACAAAAAGCCCAATTTAGTATAAGGAAAAAGTAAATAACAGCAAAAATAAATGAAATAGAGACTTTAAAAAGTACAAAAAACAAAAAATATAAAAGATTAATGAAACAAAGATCTAGTTCTTCTAAAAAGTAGATAAAATTGACAAACCCTTAAAAAGACTGAAAAGCAGAGATATGACAGTTGATAGCACAGAAATACAAGGGGTTATTAGTGATTATTGTGAATGCCTGTGTATCAACAAATTTGATGACCTAGAAGAAATGAACAAATTCCTGGATGCACATATCTTACCAAGATTGAATCAGAGTAGAAAACCTGAACATACCAAAAATGAGTAATTAGATCGAACCAGTAATAAAGAAATCTTCTATTAAAAAAAAAATCCAGGACTAGATGGCTTCACTGTTGAGTTTTACCAAAAATTTAAAGAAGCTGGGTATGGTGGCACATGCCTGTAAGTCCATCACTTGGGAGGCTGAGGCAGAAGGATTGTCCTGAGTTTGAGGCCAGACTGGGCTACATAATGAGTTCAGGACCAGTCCAAACTACTATACATAATGAGACCCTGCCTCGAATTGATTTATTTATTTTAAAAACCCAAAAATAGCCAGGTGTGCTAGTGCACACGTATAGTACCAGCACTTGGGAGGCTGAGGCAGGAGGATCTCTGTGAGTTTGAGCCCAGCCTAGGCTACAAAGTGAGTTCAAGGCTAGCCTGAACTGCATAGCAAAACCCTGTCTCAAAAAGACAAAAACAAAAAAAACCCAAAAATAAAAAAAAAGAACTAAGATTGATCCTTCCTAAAACATTGAGGGGAAAATAATTCTTCCAAACTCTTCTACAATACTAGCATTCCCTATTACTAGAACTGGACAACAACACAACAAAGAAAGTTACAAACCAGTGTCCTTGATGAACATAGATGTGAAATTTCTTAACAAAATACTAGCAAATGCAATCCAACAATACATAAAAAGAGTATTCAGTATGAGCAAATGAGATTCATCCCAGAGTTGTCAGGATGTTTTGATACATGCAGATCAAAAACATGATGCAACTCATCAACAGAATGAAGGTCAAACACCAGGTGGTTATCTTCAGAGGTACAGAAAAGGTATTTGATAAAATTGAACATCGTTTTATGATAAAATTTTGAACAGATTAGTTATAGAAGCACACCTCAATATAGTACAGGCCATCCATATGTGTGCACACATGCACACTATAAGTCAGTGGCTAAGCCAAATGTGGTGGTGTATGACAAGTCACTCACAGAGTCTCGGTGCTATTATCCCAGCACTCAGGACTGGAGCAAGCAGATCATTCATGCAGAGCCAGCCTGGGTAACACAAAAAGTTCAGGGTTGCTCTGGACCATTTAGTGAGACCCTATGTCAAAAAACAAAAAAATCATACAAACATAAAAGTTAGCTAACAGCTGACATACTACCGAATGCATAAAACCTAAAAACTTTCTCTAAGATCTAGACCACTGCACATAGCAATATTTACTTCTGCTACTTTTATTTATCATAGCAAGCAGATCAGTTGAGCGAGAGAAAGAAATAAGAGAAATCCAAGATGGAAAAGAAGTCAAATTTGTATAGATTGGACATGATTTGGAACTAATGAACTACTTCAGTAATGTTTCAGGAGGCAAAGTCAACACTAAAACATAGGAAGCTTTTTAATATACTAGTAGCAAATGAGCTGCACTAAAAATTGAAGAAATTATCCCATTTATAATACATATCTAGGAATAAACTTAACCCAAGTAGTGAAAGTTTCTACCATGAAAATAAAAACATTTGTGAAAGAGGACAAGAAGTTAGAAAGATAAAGATAGCAGATGTTGTGGGTTGGGAGACTCAATCTTGTTAAAATGTCTGTACCAGCCAAAGTAAATCTACAGGGTCAGTACAGTTTCCTCCAAAATACCAGGGAGATTCTACACAGAATGGAAAAAGCAATTCTAAAGTTTATATGAAAGCATAAAAACCCCAACTAGCCAGAGCCAACATGCAGAAAAAAACAGAACGAAAAGCATTACAGTCCTGAGTTCAAAATATATTGCAGAACTGCAGTAATCAAAACAATATAGCCCCTTGAGTGTGTACGATTATCTGGCTACATAGTTTGTATCTGAGTTCTGGTCAGCTGTTTCAGGAGACTCCATGAGTGACTTGTCGGTGTCAGGCAGCTTGTCCCCGGAGTTCTCAGACCTCTCTTTACTACCCTGAGTGGCATCATTGTTCACACTGTATGTAACTTTTGCAGTGCTTCTTTCCAGACGCATACTTTCTGCTATTCCTGTTGAACACAAACAGGTCCACTATCTCTTAAGTACTTGGGCGGTTTCAACACTTAAAAACAGTGTACTGACAGAAGCATCACTCTTTATGTTTAAAAACAATCTCTACTGAAAATTGCCTTTTCCAGTTCTTTCAGGCTTTTGATTATTTTTGTGGAACTCATATGTCCTAAATACCAGCCATGGTTCATAACATGGTTAAAGATAGCGTCCTAAGCTCTGTCCTCCCAACTCAGGCATGCTTTACTGAAGACCTAGAGGGCAAGTAGCCTTCTCAAAACTTGCAGTGATTATTGCTTTTTGTATTTTTCATAGAAATGTGCATAAAAATGAGTTTACTTTCCTTCCAAAGGAGAGCAGAGGTTGTCACTGTGAAGTGTTGGTGATGGGAAGTGGTGTAGACTGGTAGACTAAGGAATGTAACATCTAAAAGGCTCAGTGGGAGTCAGCTTGCAAGTGGGATTGGCTTTGGATAAAAGTGCCATGTACGTTTTAAATGCTGGTAACTAATACAGGGAAAAAAGACCAGTTCACACTTTTGTGATTCAGATGAAACCAGGCAAGCTTGTGTAGACAGTGGGCTTTTCCTCCTCTGCTTCTGGCGGCCTGTGCTCTCAGCAGCCACATTATGGATGAAGTGTAGACAGATCCCAATGTCACAGCTGTTCCATGTGCTTGTTGGTGGGAATGGAGGCTAGACCTAAATGAAGTGCTTTTGTCCAGCTTTGTGTTTAGTGAGATCTGGCTTCACTCAAAGATACTACAGTGAACAGATAGATGGATTCGATAAATTGGCCAGTCTGCAATGCACAGGCCCCTTCCACTAGAGAGCCGTCTGTGCCATGGTGTTCTGTTGAAGAGTTAATCAGTTCCCAGAGTCCTCAGCGTTGTAAGAGGCAAAGTCAGAACCAGATGCATGGGCCTAACTGTGCTGAGAGAATTTTCCAGGAACTGGGAAAAGGGCATATCAGTATGAGAGCAGTTTCAAAAGGGAAGAGACAGCAGGGTTGATGGGACGTGGATGGAGAAAACCAGTAGGGTAGGGCAAAGCCTATTTTTGCAAGTAATTATCTGCTTTCATCTTTCATCTTTCCTAAATTAAAGTTATATTTCATTCCCCCATAACAGTCCTTAGAAGTGTGTGATTGAGTCCTGTGTAAGCTGAAAGAAGTGGGCCAGACTTGATGGGGCCTGCGTTTTTCCACGGCTACTATGTCTGTCCACTGCTGTTCAGCTGATGCTCCCGGTATACTGGTGGTGAGGGTTAGATGTAGGAATACATCATCTCTCTGGCAGGTGCAAAATTGTTTGATAGTGATGAGAAATTCTAAAATGCTTTTTTTTTGTATTACTGATTGTATAAGCCAAGTGAGATTTGCATTCACTTCTGAAGTCATCTTCTAGTGACGACTGCTACACATAGACTTACAGCCCTGGTTTATTCTGGCAGGAGCTCAGGAAACAATGTGGCGTTGTATTGGAGGATCTCAGACCATTGCCTGCCTTGTTTTACAGGGGGAACGCAGCGATTACCACGTGCCATTGGGATGTCTCTGGCCAAGGAGCTTATTTTCTCAGCACGAGTGCTTGATGGCGAAGAAGCTAAAGCTGTGGGCCTGGTCAGCCACGTGTTAGAGCAGAACCAGGAGGGTGATGCTGCCTACAGAAAGGCCCTGGACCTAGCGAGAGAGTTTCTACCTCAGGTACCTCTGACTGGAGCTCCTTCATTCCTTACCCTGAACATCAGAGCACTGTGTCAGCCTGCCTGCCAAGCAGCCAAATGCATGGTGGCTGGAAAACTACAAATACTATACTGGTTTAACGTTAAGATCCTTCAGAAACAAAATGAAGATTTTAGGGTAATTTGAGGGCTACATTGTGGTCACACTTGATAATTTTTCATATGAACAATGTTTAGTGCACATGACAGTTGCCTAGGGAATTGTTTTCATTTGTTTACGACCGAGTGCTCAACCTAAACCATTCCATGGAAAAATAGATGGTGGGTGCGTTGTTCCACTGGACCATCCCTGAATCCAAATACATCAATATACACTGTTTCCAAAGTCTGGAGATGCAAGTCTTTTACACCCTGCTGAGGTGGCCTGCTCAGGCACGGGTCCCAGCTTCCTGCATTGTATGTGTGTGGACAGTGATGTCAGCACTGCTTTCAATCCTTCTTCATAGTATACTTGCAAAGGCTCAAACACACCACACAGCAGCAAGCATAGCTGTGCCTGAGTAGCACTGACAATAGTGCCTTGATGGCTCTGACATTCAGGTGTGTGTTCCAAACATTCCATTGGTTGCAAATCAGAGAGGAAGGATTTTAACTTAAGAGGATGAGTCTCCTTTTGCAACTAGTGATAATTCCTTTAACCCTAATGGAGCATGAAGTCTCATGGCTCCCCTGGCTAACCATTTCTGAAGTCAGAATAAATTCTTCTATCACAGAGTCCCTAACCCAAAACAGAGCTCATAACCTGTTTAGGGGCCATAAATCCTCTAAGAAGTGTCATGAAATCTCTCCCCTAAAAAGGCATGTATGCCCACACAGTTACTCAGAGTTTTGTATCTGTGTTCAGAAGGTGTCCGTGGCCCTCAGCGCGAGCACACTTGCTATCAGATCAAGGCCCTGCCCAGCTGTGGCACACCCACCCTGAGCCCTGGGATGGGCTGCATGGAGGCCGGGAGTATAAACCTGCACTGCAGGCTGCTGAGGCTGCTCTGCCACTTGCTAACTCAAGAGCCAGGGCTCTTCCAGGGCAGCCCTTCTGCAGCTTTCTCCCCATGCAAGGAAATTTCAGCCTTGGGCTCTAGAGGCTGAGTGCTTGGCAAGTTGATGGGCACCAAGCAGATAAAAAGATCTGTACCGCTTTTGAAACAAGGACTGTTACAGCATTGGTATTTCTCATATGTATTAGGGGAATGCCCACTAAAGGGAGAGTAAAGGTACAAATATCAGGGAAAGTAATAATTTAACTGCCTCTTGTTTCAGTGACTTCCATAGCTTAAAGCTTTACGATAGAACATCTCTCAGTTGCAATCAAGGGGTAGATTTCAGAGGGCCTGTGGCACCCTGCTGCTTCTGACTACCCAGGAGTGCTCAGCTGCATGCCCCAGAGCTCCATCCATGCAGGAGGCTCTTGGCTGCCTGGCATCCAGCTTGCACTCTCCTCCGTAGTCTTCCGTGCAGTTCATGCTTAGTCCACATCACCCACCTGAGAACAGTGGCACTGGCCTCCCTCGGCCTCCTCTGTCCCACTTAAAACCTGCCACTGAGCTGCAATCCCTGGTGGGGAATAGGGCTTTGTCACTGTTCTGGGCAGGCTTCCTTCCCCTTCATCTGAAGGACACCCCTGGGAGCATTCCTAGTTAAAATTAGTGTTTCTCCAGGTCACATAAATGTGTGAGAGATACAGAGTGACTTCAGAAACTGTGAGTTGGGAAGACTGTGCACCAGTTCCCAAAGCAAATTTGGATGGAAGAACGCTTTATTTGTATGTTTTTTTTCTTTACTTACCGAATAGCTCTTCCAAGTAATTTAAAAGTTCCTATAAGGTTAGTATTACTAAAGAACATAGGTAGGTTAAATTTGTAGTAGAACCTGTAGGAAAAAATGGCATTTTCACACATTCATCCATTTCTCCAAAATTCATTTGTTGAGAGTCTTCTGGCATCTGCTTTTTAGAACGTATCATAACATGTTTATTTAGGAGACCAATTTAAAATATGCTGTTGATTTCCTATTTACTACCTGTGAACAGAAATTTAGAAATTTAGAATGATACCAAGGTTCTAAATTCCATCTGGAGAGGAAGGCTTTTCCAGGGTAGATTGCTGAGGGTTTGGCTCCATAAGGCACAAAGTTGTCCTTCTCACACCAGCATCCTGTTTTCTTTGTGACCAGGACCCACCCTGTGATGTGGAAGCCCTGCCCCTAGGACACCTGTGTAACCCACCAGTATGGTGGTTAGTTACTCCCACCAAGGGAACAGACATACAGTGGGCTCTGATGTGGGCACTGCTGAACCCCACCACCCATGCTGGTAATTGATGGTGACAGCCCTCTCTGGTCATAACCACTACTTAGTGATACTGAGCCAGAGACTTCCTGTCCTTCCACCCTAACTCTGAGATGGGGGTTCAATATAGAGTGTTAGGCTTTCACCTGCATAGGCGCTCTCTGCTGCCTCCAGGATAGAGAGTAGTGAGGGCGAACCTTTTAGAGACAAGTGCCAGACTGCAACTCAGAACCTACGTACTTATCACAAAGTGCCAACACAGCAATTAAACCTGAGCACTGAGGTTTTAGTTTAGAAAACACAGCTCATACATTAACATTTTTTGTATTAAAAGAAAAACACAATAACATGTGTGCCGCAGTGTACCACTGCTCTGGGTTTCCTGTGTAACAACCCCATGCCATCTAAACCTCACTGTGAAACTCAGCTGTTACAGTTGCTGTATGAGACCTTGCAAGCTAGCATAGGGATTTCCATTTTGTATAGCATATCTGTTGTTGGCTGTGCCACGGCTCCAGCTGTGGGAAGTTGAATTGTACTGAGATGTGCAATATAACTTACAAAAACCATAATTAAAGTTTGTTTCTTTAATTTGAATTTTAGGGACCAATTGCAATGAGAGTGGCAAAATTAGCAATTAATCAAGGGATGGAGGTAAGTTCCTTAATGCTTGACTTTGTTGTTAGAAGGTAGTGGAAATTTAATCTAAGCACATCATGTTGGGACTTCTGCCTTATTTTTAGTGTTCTAAAATACAGCTCTTTGAATACAACTATTACCAAAAGCCCCGAAATCAGCTATATCATTAACTTCATTCTCCTTATTGATTATTGCTGATTGAGTATCTTAATCACAGAATTCAGAATTTCATCAATGCCCTGCAGCTCATGACATGCTTGTTATCTTTACCATTAAGATGGATTCATTGTTTCCAACAAAACATATGTACATACATACATACATAAATGTACATGTCGCACATACATTTGTCGGTATCACATTATAAAAACATTGCAAGGAAAACTTGCCAGGTCCAAGGTGTGTCCCGCTGTCTTCTCCTTTAACTTCTCGGTGACTTTTGTGGGAGAAGCGTAAACTAGGTGAATCTGCAGGGTGTCCTGTGGTCCCCTAGGGAGTGGCGCCAGGGTTAGGGCAGCACAGGCACTCATGTAATTTGGGTCTTTAATGACAGCTGTTATATTTTGGTTAAATTAGGGAACTGTGAAGAAAGTTGCTTCCTCTTTAGAGATATACCAGCCTCTATATCTTCCTTGACTTTATGGCAGTCAATGAGATTGAATTGTTAGCTATAATATAGTATTATAAGTTCACAAATATTTGATTGGTTTATTTCAATCCTTTTGTAAAAGTATTAGTAGCAACACTCTATATAGCCTTTACTATCTGCTGGCTTTATGTGCATCTATTCTACTTATAAAGGCTTATAGATTAACTCTTTTAATCCACATGGTATCCCCCACCCTGTTCAGTGAGTAGTACAGTTAGCTCAGTTAGCTCATTGTTCAGACATGCCTTTCTGAGGCAGGGAGGTCAAGTAGCTTGCCCACATTACACAGTGCCCAAGAGGTAGGGTCAGGACGGGCACCCAGGAAGGCTGGTTTTGGTCTCACAGCTGTGCATACTTCTGATCAGGTGCACTGTATTGAAGGATTCTCTTCATTTGGAATAGGACTGTTCAACTTGAATTTATATTGCATATACCTTCATTTAAAAAGTTACTTCTACTAACATGAATGGTTTTTATTTTCAGGTTGACTTGATAACAGGATTAGCCATAGAAGAAGCTTGTTATGCTCAGGTATGTAATACAGTCACAAAATCAGTGAGGATGCACCTTCCAAATCCTGTGTACCTTCTGTGTAATTCAAATAAATTATGTGTCAGTGAGCAAGGTTACCATCATCCCATCTGAAAATCACACAAATGGGTCGGCATTAGTTGTTTCTGCAATTTGACTGTTGTCAGCTCTTACAGCTGATACTATTCCACAGACTAATGACTCTTGTCTACATAATTTAGAAAAGTAAGAATAACTAAGTTAGTACCGTTTATGTTATAGCTGTCTGTAGGGTTATGTTGTCATTGAGGGGTGTGGATGTGGCTCCTCACTTGGAATGGGGGTGCCTCCATGCAGCAGTGGTGCTTTAGGCTCACTGACTTTTTCTAGAAAAAGTTCTGAGCCTTCTCCTGACCACTGAAAGTTCACTAGTGAAGTGATCGTTTTCTTTGTTGATATACAGCTGAATTCTATCTATTCAAAAAGAAAATGCCCCTCACCTTCTCAAAAAATCTAAAATAGCTAGTTTTGTTCTACCTTTCCTGAGAATGGAAACTACATCAGACTCTAGTTAAGCATCACCATGAATTAGGAGCAGAAAGTAGATGCAGAAGGTGAGCTTCTGACTTACTCTATGAGGCCAGCCTTATCCTGATACCTACACCTGTGAAGATATTACTGGAAAGGAAAATTAAAGACAAATTTCTGTCCTGCATGTGGGCCCCAAAACCCTTAATGAAATAATAGCAAATTGCATCTAACAACATATAAAAAGATTTATACTCCCAGCCAACTAGAATTTGAAAATTCAACATTTGAAAATCCTCCTGTGGAATCCATCACATCAGCATACTAGAGAAGAAAGTTGTATGATTATATGAATACATGTAAAAAAATCATTTGATATAATCCAATTCCCATTCATGATAGAAGCTCTTCACAAACTATGAAGAGTGCACTTCTTCAGGGTGATATGAACATCTACCAAGATACCTGCTAACACGACAGTGATCAAGAAAGGATAAGGCGAAAGCAAGGCCAGAATGTCCCCTGCTGCTGTGCCCTTCTAGCATCATGGAGGAATCCTGGCCAGTGCTACTGCAACATAAAATGCTACTGCAAAACATAAAAATTACAAAATAAAGCATGTACATACTGAGGAAAAATAAAATTGCTCTCAGATGATATGACTATCTAAGTGGGAATCCCAGAGACTCAAAAAACCTCTTCAGCAGTTATAGCAAGATTATGTGAAAACAAGGTGAATATACAAAAGTCAATTGCTTCCCTAAATATCAACAATGAAAACGTATAATTAGAAATTAAAAATACAACACTTCACATTAGCACTCAAAAGTCAAAAACTTAGGTGTAATTCTAACAAGACATAATCTATAAGTGAAAAATTATAGTGCTCTGGTGGAAGAGGACAGTAGCCCATGTTCATGGATGGGAAGACTTAATATTATTACAATGTCATTTCTCTCCAACTTCATCTATGAATTTAACTCAGTCAATAAAAGTCCTACTTTGGTGATATTGCCAACTTGATTCCAAAGTTTATATGGAAGCACAAAGGTAAGAAGAGCCAGCATGGCACTGCCAGCAGCGGTACTGGGGGGCTGACGTACCTTGAGCCTGAGGCTTAGCACAGAGCCACAGAAATCCAGGCCTTGTGGTACTGGTTAAAGAAATCAGTAAGTAGATCAGGGAACAGAACTGAAAGCCCATTTGCAGATGCACACGAATGCTGTCAACTGATACTGACTGAAAAGCCAAAGCACCTCAGCAGAGAAAGGACAGTCTTGAAGGCAAACGGTGCTGGAACATCTGGACATTCACATACACGAGACTGTCTAGACACTTATCATATGCTTTCCTCCAAATGTAACTCAGCATGAGTTGGAAACTAAATACATGATGAACTAATATATGCTAAACTAAGTATGTGCTAAAATTCACAGAAGATAATGTAGAGAAAAGCTCAGTGAGTTTGGAGTTGACTTTGTAGATATAATGTCAAAAGTACAAGACATAAAAGGAAAAATTTAATATATGCCTTTAATAAAGGTAGCAACTTCTACTTGTAAAAGACACAGCTAAAAGAATGAAGAGATGTAGACTGACAGAAAAATCTACAGGATACATGTGAAAAGGTTTCATGTCCAAATTAAACAAAGAACTTTTAGACTCAGCAATAAGAAGGTAACCCAAATAAAAATGTACGAAAGATCTGAACAGGCACCAACTAGAAAAATAGATGACAAATAATCATAGAAATGATGCCAAAGGGGGCTGGGGGTTTAGCTCAGTGGCAAAGCGCCTGCCTGGCAAGTGCAAGGTCGTGAGTTCAGTTCCCGGTACTGGAAAAACAAAAACAAAAAACAAGCAAACAAAAAAAGAAATGATGCCAAAACATAATTCATAAAGAAATTGCAACTTAAGCATTTTGAGATGCCTGTTATAATGACAAAAGTCCAAAACATTGAAACACCAAGTGCTTGTGAAAATGTAGAGTTATGGAATGTCTTGATTCACTGCTGCCAGGAATATAAAATGGTTTGAACTACTTTGTAAGACAGCAGTTTCTGGTAAAACTAAATATACTCGCAGCTATGACCCAACAATCATGCTGTTTTGTATTTATCCAAATAAGTTGAAAACATATATCAACACAGAACCCTGCAAGTTAAGCTTTATTCATAATTGTCAGAACCTGGAAGCAATCAAGATCCTTTAGCAGGGGAATGGACAAACTGTGGTACACCTTTCAGTGGAATATTATATAGCCGTCAGTTACTATAATACAACCTGACATGAAACAACCTTTAATACTTATTGCTAAGTAGAATTCAGTGTAAGATGACCATGAACTGTGTGATTCCAATTTAGTCACATTCTGAAAGAGGAAAACCAAGAGAGTTTTGAGAGACAGGTCAGAGATGAGCAGAATGTATAATTCAGTGAGACTATTCTAAATAATACTGCAGTGGGAACACATGCCATGCATTTGTCAAAACTCATAGAACATAGGACCCAAGAGTTAACCTTAATAGAAACTGGACTTTAACAAAGTGTATCATTTGGTGCATCCCTTGTAACTGGTGTACCACACCAACCCAGGATGTTAGTTTTTTAAAAGTATAGTTGAAACAAAAACTGTTGGAGTGAGGATAATGAATTTGGTGAAATAATGAGAATTACTCAAATGGCAGATTTCAAGATTTTAGAATGAACATCTAATTAGTTTTCTTAGATAATCCTTGACAGATTTTTACCACTGTATTTTTAATTTTTGGTATGCAATGTTTTGTTTTTCTTAGACCATTCCAACAAAAGACAGACTGGAAGGCCTTCTTGCTTTTAAAGAGAAGAGGCTCCCTCGCTATAAAGGAGAATAGAAGCAACAGAAATTCTTACAGACCACTGTAATAAGTGTACTTCTGGAAGTGTCTTTCCGACCTGCTCTTTGCCTCAGTGCATGAGATCTCTGACCAAAGTGAAGAGTGAGCTCCTCAGTTCGTGTGAAGAAAACATCAGGAGCCAAGCCCTCTTCATGCCGCCATGTATGTGGCTGTTCATGCAGGTGTATAAAGCTAGTAGTACATGCTGTCAAACACAGATTGAAACTAGGTATACATTTGTAAATACTTCCTGCATATGAGGCTTTCCGTTCTTAATTTTTTAATGTGAATAATTTGTATATTGCACACTGTAGGGAATAATACAGATATGTCTACTGTGCTGTGTTAAGAAAATATAATTATTTCTGTATACCAAAAATGTGAAGTTACACCAAATAAAATTTCAGTTATTACATAGGAACACGCACGCACGTGCGCACACACACACACACACACACACATATGCCTCAACCTGAAAAATGAATTGATAAGATATTCTGAGTGACTATTGCCTAATATAAATAAAATTAATGAAAAAGAAACCTTGGAAACTTCTCTCTTACCCATCCTTTTTGAACTGAGTAAATCATTGCATGTTGGCCTTTGAAAGAAACTTTTCCATGGGGATTACATCAGGAGCTTCCTCACATAGTCCTAGAACACAGTAGCGATGGTGTAGCGTTAATCCAGTCAGAGGCTACGGCCAAACAGCTTGAGAAGTGGGGTTCCTGAAGTCAGACTGCTGAGACCTCCACTCAGCACGTGGCCTGGCCTGCTGATATAGAGAGTCCTAGCCAATCGACAGGAGGAAAGAAAAACAGTGCCCACAAGGTTGGACCCCTGAGATGGGACTGGGCAATTGGGCAGTTCTCTACTTCCTGTCCATACCAGGTGAGCACAACAGCCCCTTCTCCAGCAGACACAGATGCCCGCCTTCCTATAGCAGGGCAAATGGTCGGAGTATCTCAGAGACCTGAGCGTCTGTAGCCAGCACCGCAGGATGGGGGACGCATAGACACGGAAGTGTGTGGGAATGGGAACTGTGGAATTAACCTGAGATTGCTTTTCATTGCATCCACTTCATAAAGCCATACTGCCTTCTGTGGTGGTGCCCAGGTCCCAGCCCGGCCATACAAAGGGGCAAGACCTGCCCTTGGTGTGTCTGTTGGCCAAGACAGGCCCTGCCTCCTCCACTGTCTGTTCACATTCTCACCCGCAGCCTTCGGTGCTGTTTTGAAAACATAGGCTTAATTCTTAAAATCCTGAAGTTTTTAGCATTTAACATGGGAAGTTCAACTCTTCTGAAGTTGTTGTAAGAGACAAAGGTGGACAGGCCAGCTGCTGTTCCTCCTGACGGAGATGGGTGGCCACCTTTCCTGACATGTGCACACCAAGGGGAGGGGTATTTTCTTATCACCTTAGGTGCTGAGACCGCAGGTTTATGATGAAAGCTCAGCTGATCGCTGTAATATAAAAGGAGCTTATTAAATTCACTTTGAGCTCTAGTGATTCTATCTGATGGTGTGCATGTTTGTTTACTGATGAAGATGCGGAGCTGTTCATTTCGTGCATGACGATTTGCAAATAACGAGGTGGCGCTTGCTTTGATAGATCTGTAAAAATCCCAGGGCCAACTTGTCCAGTCTGTGACATGCTAAAATGCTGCTTCCATTTTAACACAACAGGAGGTAATTAAGTGAATGAGAAAAAAGTTTTTTGAGCGTGTGCTGAGTGACTCCTCACTTGATTCACAGGCCAGTCTGCTGCTGCTTGGCTGACCCCTGTTAACTTCCTAACAAGTTTTAGTTAAACCATGGAAGTGTGTATGAAAACAGTCCAGTGATGACATCAGGTATTACCGGCTTCATATAGCAAGAGGAAAGTGACTTTGTTTTTGTAGAACGACCGTTGTTGGGGAGGAGTTCTGATGCACACCCTCAGCCCAGGGGTTCCGGGAGGGACTGAGCTGCTCTGGGGGAGTGTGGGCCCTTCCTGTGAGCCGTGTCACTCCTACAGCTGGGGATACAGTGACACTGTGGGTGCGGTGGGTGTACCTGTGTGTTCAGAGTAAGTTAGAGAAGGTTCAGAAAAGGAGGGGGAGTGAATCAAGTACAGTCATAATTTGGGGAGTGAAAGCAAAATGGAGAGGAAAGGTATTCCACTTAGATCATATGATCTAGTGGCTCTAATTCAGCACTGGCTACATTGTAACTCATCTACAACAGAAAAAAGAGGTCTCCATGCTAAGGAAAGAGAGTTCTAGAAGCCAGAAGAAAAGCCTGATTCTCTGGTTTGTTTCTGTGACTTAAAGCATCGTTTCAAGTAGGTATTCTGTACTAAGCGATCTGGGTTTCCATCAGTCAAGTCTACTCTTCTTTCCCCCTCTTAGCCCTCAAGTTGGTCTGTCCAAAGCATCACTTCCCCATCTGCGTGTAGGAAGGTGCTTTGTACATGACTAGGGAGTGGACTGTTGATCCTTGGATAGAGGACTTAGAGAAAAGGCAGGTTTTCACACAAGCTTGATGCTGGCTGGCTGCTGGCCCTTTTCCACCTGTGGTGATCTGCCCTGCATTTGTTCCTATTTGAGATCCAAAGATCTTGGCAGCACACATTTCTTTAATAATCTGGTCTTTGTTTGTCAACCAACCTAGTTAAATATTAACTGACACATATGTCGGCATTTGTTGGGCTTTATCAGTAGCAATAGAGATTATTTTTCTCATAGTTTATTATTAAAGAGTATATGTGCTATATATGTGTTACAAAAGAAAAAAGCATTTTGATTGTTTACCACTTCTTTACATAAATGAAGCTGGACACAGATTGTGATTTGGGTAATTGGTAGGTGGGTGTGTCTTAGGCCCTAAAAATCAGTTTGAATGTCTTGCTTTGCGTTTTCACAGTCCTGTTTGGGAACCTCCAAAAACTGAGCTGTCCCTTAGAGGCATGATACCTACCCTCAAATGTCTTGTTAGGCAGTGTTTGCTGTCCAAAATAATTCTCAGGGCAGCACAAGACTGGGGCTCCTAGTGGGGGAAATAAAGGATGCAAAGGACACCCACCATGGCCAGGCCCAGCCTGGGTGCTTATCCACACATCAGCACAGCAGGCACTTGCAGCAGCATCCAGGAGGAGGCCCTTTCTCAGTAGGTGGCAGGTGCTTCCAGGAGGTGGCCCTTTCCCTGGTGACATACAGGCAGTGCCCCACATGTTAGTTTCCTTTTAAGGCCCTGACATAGAGGAAGTTCAACTGGGAGTGTGACTCAGTGGTAGAGCATGACCTTAGCATGCATTAGGCCCTGGGTTCAAGCCCTGGTATGCAAAACATAAGAAAACATAGTATTGTGTATTTTTAAGGGGTTTTTTGACAAGGTCACTGAACATAATCTATGAATGATCTGAACGAATGGGTATTGAATCTTGTGACAGTCATGACTGCATTTGTGAAGTTCTTCCTGCCTACCAGGTGCTTTGCAGGGATTTTTACTTACTGTCTACAACGTCCCTGAAAGGATGCCTGCTGTGGTTCTTCACCTGGTACGAGTCAGGGACTAAAGCATAAACAGCTTGGTTGCTTGAGTCCCATAGCAGGGATGGGGTGGAGACAGGGATTAACTCCACAGCTTCTGACCTTCATCACTGTTAATCTTGAAAGCAACCAGACAGCGACATCACCAGAGGCTGTGATAGGTGTGTTTCCGTCAGCCAGAATCCTTTGACCTAGGTCGGTCAATGATCATCTCATGACTTGGAGAGATAAGGAAAGTGTGCTTATGGAATGATCTGGTGACACAGAGGCAGGTCAGGTGGCAATTGGAACTCGCACCCCTTAGCACTTCCTCTATAGGAGGCACTCACTGTACATATGTTCTGTCTTCATTCTCACCAAGAACTTATGAGATAGCTTCATTAATTTCTAATTTATGAAACTGAGGCAGAGTGTGGGATTCACATGGGGTATTCTGTGTCCAGGACCCCAGTGTTCACTGGTGACACCATGGAGCTCATGGAAGTCTTGATGGGCATGAGGGATGCGTCAGCAATATGCCATGGTGATCACTGACGCTTTGCATTTCACTGTGCCCCAGCACTCACCATTGGGGTGCACATATTGTAGTTCGATACTGATTCTTCGCAAGAGGGAGCCAGGATGAGTTCAGTGTGGGTCAAGACCATCCTGTGTACCTTTGGGAAGTAGAAGTGTGTGTCCAGGCCGTGAGCCAGGAGGTAGTCAAGGAAGCAGCTGCAGAAAGAAAGGAGGGCCTTCCTTCGACCTACTTTCTGGGTTGACTCCACCTTCTGAATTAAACATTAGCCCAGAACCAGAGTATCCTGGACTAAATACGGTGGCAAAAAGCAACCAGCTAACCTAGCTCATACGCTATAAGCCTAGGCATGCACCCACTGGTCTTCAGCAACGCTTGGTTGGCCCCAGCCCTAATTACCATGTCATTGACTGTGCAGCTTTGATACTTACCAACCAGTGGTCCACCACTGCCCAGTGGAGGGCAGAGCCAAGCCTGTCACTGATAGGGGCAAAATCTCAGAGCAACTGTTGTCAGGGATTCCCTTTAAAAATGGCTCACCAGTTGAAAGTATTCATATCCTTTTTGCCTTGAACAAAGAGTTGGATGAGATGATCCCAAAACAGTGTCAGAAGTTTATTTGAAAAGAGAGGTGAAGGGGTAAGGGAAGAACTAGCTCTGCAGAGCAAACTTAGGCTGAACAGAGAGGAAGGATAAAAGCAAACTAAAATGCACCCTGTGCCTAGGAGATGCAGAGTGGGCTACCTTGAGAAGTCACAGGGTTCCTCGTGGTGTCTGTGTCCTATATGTCCACGTCTTGTGGGAGCCCACGAAAGGTTCCACATACAGGGTCCTGGAAATTATTCAGCGCTGACCTGGGGTCTTGTAATTGACAGGACCTGCTCATTTCCCAGCCAGCTTTGCCATGCCCTAACTGCTGTCTCACAACCACTCAATCCCACCCCAAACTCTGATTCTTAAAGCCCTCAACATCATACCAATTTGGGGCCATGACCTCTTCTCACTAGCCTGCTCCAACTCTGTGGAATATACTTTCATTTGGGAAAAAATCTTTGTGTTTGCTTCTCCTTTTAGGTGTCCTACTCAATTCTTTGTTCAGCACATCAAGTCTTATGTTTAGTTCTCAGCATCACACACAATTCAAGATGTACTCTGGTTTTCTAGAGAGCAAGTTTGTCAGTGAGACCATGGACAGAGCGTCCTCTTCATGCAAAAGGAATTCATAGCTCATGATCATTGCAGACATCCAGTCAGGTTGGACATGGTCTATATCAAAGTGCCTTATAATTTGAGGTCTCATACAGATGTGCTGATAGCATTTCATTGTTTTATATTTTAGAACCATTGGGACAAGGAGGTAGATTTCACATTCATGGCCAGTTGGAGGGTGTGTCCAAGAAGCTGGGTGTTCACCTTGGAAAAGAGAAGTCCTGGGAAATGTGGCGGCTCTCAGTGGAACTGCAGCCCAAATCTGGAATCTCAGAAGATCTCACAGA